GTCAACGTTTCTGATGCGTGGTTACACAGATGGACACTTTTCGTTTTGTTGTTTGATTGAACTTTATTTTAGATAGTCGCACCTTTCGGTAAAAATAACAACGTAAATATTTGCGCCCGGAGGCTTGACTCACGCGGGCATTGGTGGAGAGCCAAATTTTACTAACTTGGGTGATTGGTTAAAATGTTTTTTTGCCATAGCAATTATCATAAAAAAATTATAAGAAAAATATACGGTAGTGATCCAGAAAGACTGTGTCTGTTGGTAACAGATTTGAAAGTATTTTTGTTAATAATTTGAAACACTGCAACCCGATATGGTTTTGCTTAACAAATACTTGACGTACAACTCCTCAAGATTGTTGAATTGTTGTTAATCAAGAGCGTACTCCAATGGTAACCTTTAAAAATTAGAGTCAGGATTGCCAACATATTCGTTTATTGTGGATTACTTTGTACAATGTTAATTTAAAGATTTAACTAGAAAATTATCATTTTTCAAAAGTTTTAGATGAAGTACTCATAGTCCCTACAAAACAGTTATCTTGAGAAATTTTTAAAATTTTAGAAAGTTACATTGTTAGTGTCACTGAAGACAACTAGTAAACCATTTTTATTTTTGATATTTTTTTCTAAAAATTGTGCATTTTTGTATTTTCTTATGTTTAATACAACATTTTTTTATTTAGCAATCTGTAGTCTCAACAAAATAATTACAGGCGAAAATATTGTTACAATTCATTAACATTTATCTCAATTAAAAAACATTTATTTCAATAAAACCCCAATAGTAAGTGGGATGTAAAATATTACTTATGAACCAGTATATTCGGCATCTTAAAAATAACGCTGAACCCTAAAAATTTAGTTGTTTTTCCAAAAGTAAACAACCGAAAAAGACCTAATATCCTTCAAAAAGCACCAATTTGCACCCCAAAAGTACCCAAATATCTGTAGACCACAAAAAAAAACCGTTGAGAATCACCTAAAATCATGCAAAATTATCTCAAGAACACCGTAAAAAAGTAACAAAACACCTAGTTTTTAAACACCGCAAAATGGATTTTTATTTCTGGACCAAGCCATGTGTTGCAAGCAAAAATCATTGAAAAACGTCCGAAAAAGAGCCAAACTTCAATGTTGCTACCTTACGAGAACTTATCCAAAATTGTCTTCTTAAAAAAACTTACTCGTAAAGTTCACAGAGCAATTATTTTCGATTTTTAAGAAAAAAAATAAAATTATGCAAAGCACAAAAAAGAAATCAAGTTACTTAAAAAGTAGTCTTTTTCAAGTGCAAAACTGATTCAAATTAAACATACATCAAATAAATATTACAGGAAAAACTGAATTTTTAAATACCTTAACAATTTAAAAAAATACTTAAATACTTTAAAAATACTTGTTTTAATGTCCGAGATAAAGTTACACTTGAAAATGAACAATGTTGCAGAAATCTGGTTTATTTTTGTAAGGAAGCAATATTCAAAAGCTACTCGTATCTATCCGCTTGTAAAGATAAAAAGTATTATGTTATTCGTATATAAAAAACAAAAATATATTATAAGCAAGAAAATCTCTTATAGACACGCACCAGCATAAATTTTTAAAAAACACAATTTTTTTACTAAAAGTACGAGAGTAACTAGAATTTTGTTATAACTAATACTAACTATAAACTTCAAAACGTCAATAGTTTTAACAATTAACTAGTTGAAATAACATTTTATAATCAAAATTGAAGTAATTTGAATAATTAATAAATTGCCACTTACTACTTAGGGTATAATTGGTTGGTTGCTACTGTTCCAGGTAATAAAAATTAAAGATTTATGTATTATCTTCTATTTTAATATTTGTGGATTTAATTTTTTTTCAAGTTTTTATCCAAAGCAGTACCAGGAACTTTTCCACTTTGGTGATTTATTCCCCTTTACCTAATTAATATTTATCACCAGCTGAGCTGTCCCTGATATTTTTGACAATATCCTGGCGCATCCACCAATTTTCACCTTTATTCACATCAAAAACTTTTCCCCTCATCCGCATCAATAATTCACTTGTTTGTCCGGTTAGGAAAGACATTTCTTCGAAACTCTTATCCCCTGTAATTATCCATCACGCAACGTCATTTTTTCGTTGTGAAACCCATTGCACCTCCAAGTTACCAAAACCCAACTATCTTCCTGTTTCCTGCATTGTGGGTGTTCGGCACGCACATGTATTTTCGGACTCCTGCATGACATATTATAATAATAAACATGTGATGACAATCACGGATCTATTGAGCTGGAGGCGGAGCTTTGACTCGGATTGCATTTGGTGTAAAGTGCGTATCGCCATCGTCGCCGGAGAGTGCGTTTTCAGTTTCTGGGTCGTTGGGTCGAGGACCTGTCGACACGTGTGTGGATGTCTGTTAGATTCGCAGCCTCCAGGCTCGGATAGACCAAATCTGATGACGGTTTTGGAAGCATTTCGAATTGCAAATGGGTAGCGGGATTATCGGTTTTAATTACAGTTATTACTTAATGTCTGGCATATTAATTTTTTCGAGCAAAAGTTTTAAAGCTTCATATAATTAAACAAAAATGAATGGATCAATAAACAATAGGGCTTTACTTTGACAAAGACCGTAAATATCAAGAGGCAAAAAACTTAAATTATAATTAAAAAAATTAAAAACGATCATTTCTATTCAAAATATTGATAAATGTAATCAGAATGTTGAAGATAATTAAAGAACCAAAATTTTTAAGTGCATGTAACTTAGATTTCTATAATTTTCAAGTCCAAGCCCCTTGTATTGTTTGCTCGGCTTGGGCCTCGTTAATTGTTTTAAGCAAGTTTGGTAAATAATTACATGATTATAATAACAATAACACTGTTATTGCCAGAATTCAAACACAATTGCTTAAAATTGCCTTTCATTTTTTTACAACAGAAATAAACAGTAATAACTCTAGGTGAAGTATGAATAAGTATTATTTTAAAAATTACAAATAAGCACGTTTTAATTATTTCGTTATTTTATTTGCAATTTTTAATTGGATCCTTAAAATTTACCCGTACTTCTTTGTTAAAAATAAAATGATTTTTACATATTTTCCTGGTAAAGTAACGTCATTTTTATTAACAATAATATTTTATTATTAAGTTATCCAAATGAGTGTTTTAATAAGCTAGTAGATATACCTACAATTTATCTTTTATTTTGTACTCAATGTTATGGAGTGCTTTTATCTACTAATTTCAGTAGATAAAGTAATCTTTTATCGTCTTGTGAAATAAAGTAATTTTTATCTACTGTATTCAAGAAATTCTGGCGAGTACAAAATGAAATGAAATATTATACACGACGATTGTCATGAAAAAAGTCCACTCGTGACTTCGTCATTCGTAAACTTAACCTTTTCACTCATAGGTAAACAATTTCTTTATCGTCTTGTATAATAAATAAAAAAAGCAACCTAAATTACACTTTGGTGATTTTTTGTAAACAAGGTTAACACCATATTAAAAATTTGTAATAGTAGATCACTAAAACATTTACTGGGAGCAGTTTATTTTGGTTTCAATTTTTTTTAACTTTTTTTTGTTATTATATTTTTGTGCTTGGGAGATTTGTGGAAATCACGTTATGATCTTGTCTGTTTATATGAATGAGATTGTAATGTAATTATAAGATGTAATCAAATTATCTGCATTACGGTCGAGGTTGCGCTTACAATATCTGTTTGCTTTTCTTTGCTAAATTTACTTTCTCAAATGGTATCTAATGTAAGGGATTCTCAATCATTTACACTAAATTCACGTAATTATTTGAAAGTACTGCATTCGAACAAATATTTTATTCTTACAGATAAATGAATATCAAATAGTTTATCTCAGAAAAAAACAATATTTAAATTTATTACGAGTATTTATATTTAGTTATTTAAAACTTGATAAAAGGTTGACCAGCAGGTAACATTGAGAACTACCATCTGCATAACTATTTTTTGTTGGCATATTAGATATAATAAACATAATTTGAATATTTTACGCACATGAGAGTTTAAAATGCGTCTTCTATTATAAAACTTCAGACAAGAATAAAACTAAAGTTCAAAAGCATCATCATGTTGAAAAGGATTTCATACTGTTGTTTATACATCAAGTTAATTATATTCAGAATTTTAGAAGAATAATGAAATAACTGTAAAAACGTTAATTTATTGTTTGTAAACAGAAAACTCTTGATAAACAATTGTAAATAAGGAAATACATCTTAGTGAAGGTATAATAATTTTATAAAGTCTAAAACTATCGACACATTTTAATTTATTATTACCCACATTCCATTAATTTCTCTTTTTCGGAATATTATCATAAATTTGCAAAGTATTTGTTCACTAGGTCTGTACTATTAAGTCGCAGCTGAATAAAACATGTAAAATTGTCAAATAGCCTAAATACGTCCTCATGCTCTAATATAAAAACTTGATTTATTTATTTATCATTACACATTTGCTTAAAAAAAAAATCTTGAGAGATAATTAATTCAAATTTTGTACTTCAGTGACCCGTCATATTCCATCGATCTTTGAGATGAAATTTCTTTCTTAGGAAAATTCTACTTTTATATACTTACTAAACAATCTACTAATTATAAAGATTACAAAACATTTTTTTAGTTCAACAATTTTATTTTTAAACTAAAAGTGCGTTATTATTTGAAAAAATTATTTATCATTGATTTCTATCCATTAAGCGACCTCTAATTCATAATTGATAAAAGTCTTATTACCAAAAATAGGAATCTGTATTACCATTATAGTTTTGCATTTGTGCTGCGCTCTAGCACACCTTAGTTATGTCTCCATAGCCTCCTAGATTAACAAAGAAACTCTGTCTGTTTGTTAATCTAGGAGGCCGTAGTGTGTCCATTGGTGTGTAAAAATGGGCGGAAATATGATGTAAGGTTGTATTTTTAAATAATGCGCATTAAAAAAAACTCAAACCCTGGTTCAAAAAATTTAATTATGAAACCTCAAATAAAACGTTTTGTTAAGCTGAAAAACCATGTACAAATGTAATCTATTGGTAAATACATATCCAAGTCTCAGAGTTGCTATTAAATATTTAAATCGAAAACAAGCATAAAATTAGACAACAAATGTACCAGCGCCATATACAAAGCAATTTGTTATAAACTTATCAAAATCATTTTAAACCTACATAATCTATATGTACAGAGTGTTTAAGAAACGGATTTCAAACGTTTCTATTTCGCGATGACCTAATTGCAATATCAGGTACTTTTTACATAAGTGACATTTGATAATGTACATCATAAATAGTGATAAAAATTTGAATAAAGTACGAATTAGGTATAAATAAAAGCTTTCTTTTAATATAAAAAATATAAATGCTTCTAAACTATACAAAAAAATATTGCAGTCAAGTTCTATACAATCTCACTGGACCAAAACGTCTTTATTATCCGAAGCGCTTCCTTGTCTCGTTGGACTTAGAAGTTCTTGTCGGTCACGTTCGCGTTCTCGGCCCGGCCGGAACGCTTCCAAGACCGATTGCACCCTTTCTTCCGTTGGTTCCCATCGTTGATAACCTGTGGCATTTTGCAGCCACACAATAACTGTCCCATGGGCCGATCTAACATTCAATTCAGACCTACAAAATAAAATAAAAATATTTCGACTCAAATAATCACAAAAAAGAAAAAACCTGTTTAAAACATGTTGGAAACCGTGCCTAAACTCATGCTCATACGCCGGTATTGTGACTTGCTTCCTTTTAAACTGGCTCGCCTCAATTCGCAGCAATGCATTAGGCGTTGGCTCCCTATAATCCGGCATAAGTACGATGAAGCTCAAAGGCTCGGGACTCTCGCTGAGCAGCCTCTCCATGTGGTTGACTGCGGCCTCCATCAACTCCTCGCAATAAGGGGGGTGCACTTCGAAAGAGCCCGAGACAGCCTTCAATTGTAGAAAGGGTCTACAATCTGAGAGGTAAAACGCTATAGGGAAAATCAACATCGTACCCTCTGCTTCCGAAGTAAGAATCACAATCGGCGAAAGCAGAACAATATTGTTTAAAGTAACAGTTTAAAGGTGAGGCAAAGCATTCGAATGTGACGCCGAAAGTTCGATTTAGACATTCGAAGACGGTGACGGGTAATGACGCTTGAGTCTCGTGAACGTCGGAATTGGCGTTGTTGGATGAGGGATTTACGCCAAGGAAGGTGGAGTAGCGTTTGAGCATTACCCACACTCGGGGGATGAATAACTCGAATTTGCGGTCGTCGAAGCAGCTGTGGCGGTAGAGGTGCTCCTAAAAGGGTCACTCATAAGCCGATGCAGTAAAATAATAATAGAGTGAGTTTGTCGAAAAATAACAATAACAAATAAGAAAAAAAATTCTATTCCAAGAAATTGAAAATTTGGTTCTCCAAAGCAATTCATAAAAAACAATTGAAATACTCCCTATTTTAAAGACTGTAAAAATTCTGTTTACTTCTAGAGAGAACAATAGTAGGTTGTTTAACAAGTAAAGAAAACTCACTTTTCTTACGCGTTGAACACGTACTTTTTTAGTGTACAGGGTGCTGCATTTTGGATGTCCGAATAGGGAATCTCCGAAACTAAGAGGTTTAGCCAAAAACGACTAATACATTCTGGGGCTCATTTTTTGAGAAAATAATATTGGTTAAAACCGCATCCAGCTATCGTCTTTTGTTTTCGACTTATAGACAAAAATTTACATTTCAGCGAAATCTAAAAAAAATTATATCTTCGTTATTATAGAAGACACAGATTTGAAATGAAGACTTTTTTACGTAGAATTTAATAATGTAGTTAACAATTTTTTTCAGTTGTTTGTTTTGTCGTAATAAAATAAATTTGTATTTTTTTAAATGGGAATCATAGATGATTATGTCATATTCAAAAAGCTTGTTTTTTTTTCTTATCTAAAAATATATATTTGTAACAAATTATTGCAATACATTTTTAGCAAAAAATTATCTTTGATTTTTGTTCGCAGTTGGCCATGAAAAAATGTTGCATCTTCAACTAAAAGGATTTAAACTATATTATTCAACCAGTGTCACTAATGAAAAAGTTTTCTAAGTACTAAATAATGAAAAAAATGCAAAATAAGTCGTAAATCAACTTATTGGCGATTAATAACATTTCTTTGTTTTTAAATAAGCTAACATTACCCAATGGTAACTTCTAGTGATACATAGAGTGTTGTAAAAAAAGCCGCTTTAATTCTTCAATAAAATATATTTTATATGACACAAAAATGACGATATGACTATTCAAATAACCAAATTCCGTCTATGTGGAACGTTATCTTACCTCCATTAGACCATCAAAAAAATGTTTTTTCTAATTGTGTTGACTGTTGACACATTTGTTTTTCCTATTTTTGGATTTCTTTAAAATATGTAATAATTTTGTTCTGAGGCGCTCGAATATTTGTTCAATATTTCTACCGTATAGTATTTTTTAAATTTTTATAATTTTATCTATTTTTTCATCTATTTTACAGTTCACAAAAGTCTTATTGATTATTATTTACACATTTGGAGAAAAATAGTTTTTCCATGGCCAACTATTATCAAACAAAATATGTATTTCATTTTTTAAGTATAATTATAAAAAAATATTCTGTTATATTTTTTAGATCAGAAAAAAAATAAGCTTTTCAACATTGCCATAGCCGCCTATGATTTTCATAAAAAAAATACAAGTTTATCTTATTACGGCTAAACCAATAACTGAAAAAAATTGTTAACTACATTATTAAATTCCTCATTAAAAAGTGGCTGTATAATGTATTTGTTTCAAATCTGTATCTTCTATAATAACAAAGATATGAATTTTTTTAGATTTCGCTAAAATGTCAATTTTTGTCTATTAGTCGAAAACAAAAGACGATAGCGAGATGCGGTTTTAAGCAATATTATTTTCTCAAAAAATGAGCCCCAGAATGTATCACTCGTTTTTGGCTAAACATCTTAGTTTCGGAGATTCCCTATTCGGACATCCAAAATGCAGCACCCTGTACAGATACGGAATTAAAATTTCGGGCAGTATTTTTCTGTCACTGCAAAAAGTTCACTGTAAACTACCTTTTACTGTCATCATGACTGACATTTGACAATTAAACTTTTCTGTCAGTTACTCTATTTTTAAGTCAAACTGACATAAAAAATGACGTTATTAATGTAAAGCTTGTTTTAGAGTTTAGGTTGTAAAAATGACAATATTGCCTGAAATTTTAATTCCGCAACTGTATTTCAATTATGAAAATTATTATTTTAAAAATAGAAACTGTCTTGTTCCTATTAGCAAAGTTATCCGTGTAAGAAAGTTTTGACAACTGTTTGGTACTTCTCAATACGAAACGTCAGATTATTATTAACATATTTAAAGCAATTTGAAGCCTTGTTGAGTCTAATTCGAAGAATAAAATGTTGTATTCAGCTTGTTTGGGTGTAAATCGGACGCTTTATTCCACCTCGTGGAATAAACACGCCAAAGGTATTGCTAACAAAAGTCCCACTTTTCTTAATTATTTTGGGTTAAACAATGTTATCAATTTCTATTAAGTACACGAAAAACAATATTTTTTTTTACTTAATACAGATAATTAATTAATACTGTTTTATTTAATTTATTTCAAGTTATTGTTGTTGATATCTCTTTAAGCTACATACACTGTATGTATTTAACAAAATTTAATTTAATTTAATAGAAATAACAAACATTATTTGTTTCAATTAAAAATTTAGTTGAATAAATGACGTATTACGTAATTCCAAATAACTATCAAGGTATGCATAAACCTTGTTTAATTAATGCTAAAATCGGGTTTGGAGCATTAATAATATTCTGACACAAAAATCGATTCTCTTATGTGACAAATTAATTAATTTTCAAACTTGAGACTTTTACATTTCTTATCGCTTTTTGATCACAGTCAGATTTGATATAAAATGATTTTTCATTGTTAGAATACAAAAATTAATTACACAGTATTATATTGGCTGTAAATTATGCAAGGAACTAACTTTAGTTATAATTTATTAATAAGGGATCAATTGTTTTCTCTGCTTCAATTAAAAAATAAATTTTGAAATAAAAAATAAATCAATAATCTATTTTCGTGCTAACGCTGTGAATAATAATCAGACAGGTGACTTATTTTTCAGACATTACGCTATTATCACCCAATAAAGATCGCAAAAAACTCATAAATAAATAAGTGTATTATTAAATGAACATGTAATACATTCTTCCTAGTAAATAAACTTACTAATTTCTGCAGATGCGTGCTGTTGATGATAAGAGTGTCGCCTTGAAATCTTAATAAGGCTTGATCTCTATCTGGTAAATATTCAACGACAGGCAATCTAGGGCACCCAATGACAAATTGAATGGGATAACACCAAACTTTTCTCGTCGTCGTCATCGGAATAACAGGCGGGAGTTCCATTCCATGTTCTTTTAAAATCGCATTCGATTTTTCTCGCACTTTTTTCGCATATTCGCATGACAAATTATAAATTTTCAGGCAAATGCCCTCCACTGAAGACTTCACCTTAAAAAAAAACATTCTTTTATGCAACATAATATGTATTTTCTGAATTCGAAATTCAACGCGTGTTTATTAATGCGAAGTATTTTATCACAAGACAAAATATAATTACCGTCTCCGTCAAATGCGGCTGACATTGTTGCTTCAAATGCGCTAATCTATCTTGGAAATCGTCATATGTAGCACCTACGGTTTTCCTAAGCCACTGAAAAGTTTCGTCGACGTTCCATTTGACGACTTTTCTGCTTTCAGCTTCGGCATTTCGTGATTCCATAATTTTTTTCGCGGCTTCCGCGTATCGAGATAACTGCTTTCGAGCGTCGCCGGTAAATTTCGGCCTCACTAGCTTGATGGGGATGTCGTTCATTATTTCTTTATACATTGATAACGAGATTTCGGGGTAACAGTTGCTCGGCAGCAGAGGGTCGTGGCCTGAAAATACAAAAATTCATTTTTAAACACAATATGAAAAGCAATTTTTCGTCAAACTCAATTAATCTTAATGAATGAGTAGATATGTACCAGAGTCGATGACTTTTCTTTCCATCAACCACCTGTTGAAGGAGTCTTTGGGCGCATCAATCGCTTCCCTTGAATGGCACAATTCCTGGTAGCACTGCCTCAATTTGGCCAAAAGACTGCACCTGTACGCCTCCACTTCTGGATGCGAATGCATATAACTGCAAGGACTCCTCTCCAAGATAATAACATTTGTTGGAACGTCCAAATCCCAAGGCCCTGCCAGTACAAACTTCTTCGCTTGTGGTCCATTTAAGTCCTCTGAAGCCCTCCTTTTGGCCACCGGTAAGGGTGTCGTCGGTAGAGGAAGACTCGGAGGCGGTGCACAAATCCCCAAAGGGTCCGTTATAGGGTCAAATTGGGGCTTCGCGATAGGCATCTCCCACAAACTTTCCCCCGTCAATTTATTCCAAAAATAGGGTCGATTCTCCCGTTTCGACCAGAATTTCCTCCAGCCTTGCTGTGTTAACTCGAAGGGCAAGTCAAACTCGAGCCCGCCAGGAGTAATGGGGGCGCCCTGGGGGGTTGTGGGGATAGGCATATTGACGTGCTGGGGCGGAATGGGGCTTACGTTCGCGTTGTCTAAAGGGGGCCAAATAGGCCGGCCCTCAGGGCCCTTTACGTCGATCTCCTCGTTCATTGTTTACGTTTGGTCTGGACTGTTGTTGATGGGGATATTTCGAGAACAGGGCACTAACAGTTGTTGGTGATCGCGTCCATTTCATTGGCGTTCACTCTCGACTAAAATTTTCAACGGTTCACGTGCGGAAAATTAATGTTTATATTACGCGAAACAATTCATTCATGATTTACGCAGAAAATTTTCGTACACCTCCACCCAGACGCCATTTGCTGACTGAGAAAAATGCTAAAAACATTCCGTTCTCGAGTCGTACGCCAGAAAATGGACGTGGAGAAGTCGCGAACTAACGAAAGGAAGCGCTTTCAGCGCCATGGGCGGAACAACTACACGATTTGTAACAACTTTAAACAATTAATTCTCCCCAAAATTAAACAAATACTGTCCCACATCTATATTTTTTTAATTGTACAACACATTTGAAATTAGAAAAAAAGAAATTCATGTAAAAACAATCACAAATGATAAAATTYAATATTTTTTTTCTATAGGCTAACCGGCGCTACTGATGCAATTTTGTCATCAATTGTCAACGTTGACATTTGATATTTTTACATAACCTCACTTTTWTCTCAGACAAATGTGCGTGAATTATTACGTTTTAATTAATTTTTTATAAGAATTAACATTTTACACGATGGGGAAGAAACGAAACGGTAAAAACTTACAAACATAATCGAACATCACTTAAAAACAAACCTTTTAGAATTTTCCCACCTTACGGTTGAAGAAAAAAAGGTGATAACAGTGGCCGAAATCGTTCAGTTACTCATAAAAGCTCAAGATGAGAAACGCGACGTAAATCTCAACGCTTTAAAAACCCGAATTTCTTCAAAATATAGTCTCGGGACTTCGCCCCGTCTTGTTGACATTATAGCTGCAGTCCCGATGAACTACCGGAAGACTTTAGTACCGAAACTACTAGCAAAACCGATCAGGACTGCGAGTGGGGTAAGCATTTTTATTTTCGCTTTACCTTTTTCATGTTTTCTCAGATTGCAGTTGTGGCGGTGATGTGTAAGCCGCACAGATGCCCCCATATTAACATGACTGGCAATATTTGTGTCTACTGTCCTGGGGGCCCCGATTCTGATTTTGAATATTCAACTCAGAGTTACACAGGGTACGAACCAACGTCAATGAGGGCTATAAGGGCCAGATATGATCCCTATTTACAAACCAGACATAGAGTGGAGCAGTTGAAACAATTAGGGCATTCTGTGGATAAAGTTGAGTTTATTGTAATGGGGGGCACGTTTATGAGCCTCCCAGAGGACTACAGGGATTATTTCATTAGGAATTTGCATGATGCGTTGTCTGGRCATAAAAGTAGTTCTGTTGAAGAGGCTGTTAAATATTCTGAAAGGTCTAACACTAAGTGTATTGGGATTACGATTGAGACAAGGCCGGATTATTGCCTGCAGAAGCATTTGTCTGATATGTTGAAATATGGATGCACAAGACTTGAAATAGGTAATATTTTCATCAACTTTTAATTGAGAAATAATCTTGTGTTGCAAGGTGTTCAGTCTGTTTATGAAGACGTAGCAAGGGATACCAACCGTGGTCACACTGTTAAAGCGGTCTGTGAAACATTTAATTTGGCAAAAGATGCAGGCTACAAGGTTGTAGCACACATGATGCCTGATTTGCCAAATGTTGATCTGGAGCGTGACATCGAGCAGTTTATTGTAAGCAAAATTTCAAAAAAATCATTTTTAATCACAAATTTTAGGAATTTTTCGAAAATCCTAATTTCAGAGCAGATGGTTTAAAAATTTATCCCACTTTGGTAATCCGCGGAACTGGCCTTTACGAATTGTGGAAGACCGGTCGTTATAAAAGTTATCCTCCTTCAGTTCTTGTTGATTTGATTGCAAACGTATTGGCTTTGGTGCCACCGTGGACCAGGGTGTATAGAGTCCAACGCGATATTCCCATGCCTCTTGTTAGGTAAAGCAGTTAATTTGTTAGCTCCAAAATAATTTAGAACAATTTAGTTCAGGGGTCGAGCATGGAAACCTTCGTGAATTAGCCTTGCAAAGAATGAAAGATTTGGGTTTGAAATGTCGTGACGTTCGAACTCGCGAAGTTGGAATAACAGAAATACACGAAAAAGTACGACCCAACGATGTTGAATTGATCAGAAGGGATTATTACGCAAATGGGGGTTGGGAGACGTTTTTAAGTTACGAGGACCCGGAGCAAGACATTCTAATTGGTCTCTTACGGTAACAATTACTCTAAGTTTATGAATTTTTTATACAAATGTTATTCAGGTTGCGCAAATGCTCCCAAGAGACGACTTATCGTCCCGAACTCATCGGCGAATGTTCAATAGTTCGTGAACTCCATGTTTATGGAAGTGTGGTTCCCGTTAGCGGTCGTAATGTCAAAAAATTCCAGCATCAGGGTTATGGCACTCTCCTGATGGAAAAAGCCGAAGATATTGCGATAAAAGAGCACAAATCTAACAAAATCGCGGTCATTTCTGGGGTCGGGACAAGGAATTATTACCGGAAGTTGGGATACGAGCTCGAGGGGCCTTACATGGTGAAGTCTTTAAAGCCCAAATTGTACAAAAGTGTATTTAGTTGTGTTGATGGTGAGCCATTGCAGAAAAGTACCGAGTGTTATGAAAGAAAAAAGTGGACACTTGATGATAATGAGTGGTTGGATCAATTTGACAAGGAAAATTCTTGAATAAAACAAGTTGTTATAAGAGATTAGGTTGTCCTTTTATTTGTTTTCTAATTTTTAACAAAATTTTCGTGTGCCAAGTGTCCAAACGGTGAAGGTTGTCATAGTTTACGATAGCTTTGTTAAACGCCTCCTCGTCTGCCTCTTCAACACATTCAATGATTTTTTTCAAAAACTCAAATTGTGCGGTGTTTTGAAAGTCGGGGTATTTCGCAAAATATGAATCAAGAGCAAGTTTTGCGTTTAGAGAGTCCACGCACAAGTGACACAAACCGGCTTTACATAGACTATCCTTCACATTGTAATGCAAAATTGGAGTTTTCAAATCAAAGAAAGCAACTTCTTGGAATATGTTTATGGCTTTGTCGTAATCGTGAAAGTCCGACGAGGCGTATTCTGCAACTTTCAAAAGACACTTTTTTGCAGAGATGAAATTCTCCTCGACTTTGTAATAATCAGCCGCTTGCTCGTAATGTTGAATCGCGTTTTCAAGTTCCAGATTTTGTTCGTAAATTTCACCGATGCTATTGTGCAGCTTCGCGGCCATTATAAACCGGCCCAAGTCGGTGTAAATCTGTATAGCTTTTAGTAGGAATTTTACYGCGCCGTTTGTGTCATATTTATCTAAACATTTGGCTGCAAAAACAAAATCGTTGGCTGCTTCACACCGGTTGTTTTGTTCCAAGTTCAAATCGCCGGCCATTCGGAAAGCTGTGCTCGCCTGGAGCCAGTTTTTCGCAAGTTTGAATAAATTTCCGGCTTTTTGATAGCATTCGATTGCGTCTTCAGTGCGGTTTCTGTTAGAGCCGAAAAGTGACTGGAAAAAACCCTTGGGAGACAGTTTTTTCTCAGCTTCGGATACCAACTGTCGAGCGCGTTCTTCAGCGTTGGTCATATTGATTAGCATTTGAGCAAACTCATGACATGTTATTGTCACTTGAAAATTTAATTGTCAACATTAAATTTAGGGTTATTAAGAAATCAAGTGCTTATTTTGTCAAATTTATTACATTAAATGGAGATACAAAAGAAAAACATTTAATATCACACTATTTCTCGAAATCAAAGCTCGAGAGAAAAAAACCTAAAAAAAATGAAGAAATAACCGTACGATAAGTACTTCGAGTTGATTCCTAAAATAATGGAACACACAATAAGAACATTCTACTGGGGATTTGGCTGAGCAGGGTAGTTGTACCCATACTGCCCTTGTGGAGGCGGCGCTTGTGCTGTCGGAGGCCTGGGATACTGGTACCCTTGCGGTTGTCCCCCATACTGGGGTTGTGGTGGATACCCGGGTTGGGGAGCATACCCATAATTATTGGGAGGGCCCGCCGGAGGATACCCTTGCGGGGCATTGGGCGTGTAGCCTGCATTAGGATTTGAAGGTTGAGAATTGGGTGGATAGGGAGGTTGATACGGTTGTGGTGTGGTGGGTGGAGCCGAAGTAACTGCAGGACTTTGGTTGTTATTAGCAGGAGCCGAAAAGGGCGGAGACTGAGTATTATTAGGCCCGTAATTCTGCGGTGACGTACTAGGTTGGTTTGGATACGAGGCGGGAGAAGTCTGCGGTTGGCTAGATGGCGGAGGCGGGGCATATCCCGGCTGGGGCGGGTATCCCTGTGGGTAAGTCTGCGGAGCCGTGGAATTTGGATACGGACCTCCGTTGGGGTAAGTCCCGGGCGGCGGTTGGGGCGGGCCAGCAGGCGGAGGGTAGGGCCCCGCACCTGGCTGAGGAGGGGCTCCACCGGGCGGAGGCGTGCCGTATCCCGGCTGTTGGTAGTTATTGTGTGCTGTTGTTGACGGTGGTTGTCCGTAGTTCGCTTGAGCATTCGATGGGGGGTATACCGGGGGTTGATTTGTGGGGTATTGGTTCTGTTGAGGATAGGCGTTACCTTGGGGTGGGTATTGGCCGGGATATTGGTTCTGTGGGTAACCTCGTTGTGGGTAGGGGTGGGTCGGGACGCCAGGGCGTTGAGGACCTGGAGGCTGCCGGTATGCTGGTTGCTGTTGATGGTTAAAATTGTTCATATGCTGTTGATCCATGTTGGGTGGCGGCTGGCCGTGCGGTGGTGGGGGTGCCTGTGTTTGCAACATCTAAATAGAAAATATAATTACAGAATTGGGAGGGCATCTGAAAATTTGTATTGATGGATTGAGCAAGAACAATATTTTATCAAGATTTTGCTTAGTTCAACAATGAAATCTTTTTCTTAATCCTTCTTGACATTTATGAATGTTAATACAAAATAAATACAAGAATTAAAAACGGACATTTTATTATTATTTGAAAGATAAAATCATAATCCTTTTATTTTTTTCGTCGCGATTTAAATAAAGGCATAAAAGTTCTTGACATCAAGTCCCCATGCACCCTTTTGATTCAACAATGTCTCAAGGTTAGTAAAAGTTCAAAATATATCAATTTTCAGAAAAATAACACGTAGTTCATAATCAATTCCTCGTAAAATTGCATAAAATACGGTAATTAATACCCGTTCGGTGTAGTTTTACTTAACCTTTGTTACACAAGCCGCTCTTTGTTTTATACTTACAGGCAAAAAAGACTGAACATTTTGAGCAGCATCTGCCATCGTGGCTAGATAAGTTAAATTCCTGTGCAATGCTTGTTGATACTGGACAACTTCTGGAGCTTTTCCTTTGCTCTGATATTCTTGAATTGTTTGAATCAAATGTCCATTTTCATCCAACATTTTTTGTACTTGTGCTGGGTTTGGCGGAGGCCGATTTCCTCCTCGTTGACCGAATCCCACAGACATTTCCACTTTATGTATTAATGAATGTCGTTATACTAACGGTAAAAACAAATATTTTATTGAAAAGCGAAGCTTTGCACATTTGTCGGTTCATAGACTTTTCGTTCGAGTTCACTGGTGTTTTTTCTAGTGACAGTAGTGAGTTGGCGGTAACACACGAAAAAAATAACAAAAACCCTAGATTTTCAGGAGCACCAACCTATCAACTAAAAAACTAAAACTGTCACGTTGTGAGGTTATGTTCATAATTAAAGCAACATATTTTCAATAATTTATTAATATTAATGATAAATGAGTTTTTATAGCGTTACAGTGTGTATTTATTAAGTGACAATGAAAATAAAAAGATATAAAAAAGTGCACAAACACTTAAATTTTTACATAAACAATTTCGGATTTAGACAACCTTATCAAATATTATTAGACGGAACGTTTTGTTTTGCGGCTTTGAATGTAAGTAAATAACTTATGGAAGTCGTTGTGTAATTAAGTTTTATTTAAGTATAGAATAAAGTGAATATCGCTGACAACATTCCAAGATACTTGCAAGGGGAGCTTAAATTGTTGACTACACAATGTGCTATTATTGAGATGGAAAATTTAGGCCCTAAGTTGGGGGGCGCATTAGTCATCTTGAAGAAATTTCCTGTTCATAAATGCGGACATGAGGGGAAACCCGTTGTTGCTTCAAAGTGCTTATTATCAATGTTAGGTGATATCAACCCAAATCATTACATTATTGCAACTCAGGATAGAGATTTACAAAATAATGTTAGAAATAAAGTCGGTGTTCCTCTTCTTTACCTTCACGGAAAGACTCCAGTGTTGGAGCAACCTTCAGAGATTACCATTGAGGCTACTAAAAGTAAGGCTGAAGGTCTGAATATAACTGAAAGACAGAAAATTGAAAAGTTGAAATTGGAGAGTGGTTTAGTTGAAATAGAAACTAAGAAAGTGAAGAAAAAGAAGAAGAAAGGGCCAAATCCTTTGTCTTGCAAGAAGAAGAAAAGTAAGCCAGGAGTGGCGGGAAAAGTGGTGAAAAATACAGAAGAAGTGAAGAATAAAAGGAAGAAAATTAGGATACCACAACATGTAAAAGAGATTTTGTTTAATAAAGACAGTTAAGTTTTAGCACATTATATTATTTTCATATACAGTATAGGAATCATTTTTACAYTTTTTTACCTAAACAGAGTTCTACTATAAATATTTTTCTTTTTTGTCTACACAGACTAACAGATAGACCCGTTAATAAATTATTAAATCTAATACATTTCATATTACACATTCTTATCATTAAGTACCTATATTTATATGTTCGTAGAGTATAACTTTTCATTTTAACAAATATACATCACATCAAAATAAAAACAAATCGGAAATAATGAATTCAGTTAAATTACAATTATTGGAATTTTAAAGCAAATAAATATCAAAGCGCAATTAAAACATTGAGCCAATAAACCAAATTCATTATTTCAAATATATTGCACACAAATAAAAACCAATTAAAAACCTAAAATGGCAGTCTTTATTATATTGTCAATAATCCAAGTTAAATAAGGATTTGTAATTAGTTTTTTTTTTTGATTCTATGATCTTATAATGAGCACCTTTTGTAAAACTCTAAAGTCTAATAATTACAGATTAAAGCTTATTTTTTTACAAGACCTAAATTTCGTATAACCAAACGTTTTGGTGTTGTGGAGGTTATTTTTGGTTGTTCACGAAACATTAAATAAAAATTCTAACAATTTTGATATGTAAAAAAAGAAAGTTGAACCAAAAGTCACAGCATAATTTTCAACCACAGCTTTATAAAGACTGATTAGGAAAATGCAGAAGTCATGATGATCTAAATACTTAATTAAAGTTTATTTTAAATCATCTTTTTTTTAGTATATCCAGTGTTTTTTTTTTTTCACTTAAAAAACAATTCATGCTAAAACTATTATTACAAGTAATCATCTTAGCGATTTTTGTGGACGAATAAATTTTCAATTTTGGTTTATTGGAGTTTCTAGACTAAATATTCTAATCAGTCTTTGGAATAAAATGCCAAACTTAATTTTCGAATTCGGATTTATTATGCTGTAACCTGTTAGGCCCGTTTGCTATTACATARTATATGAATATGTACAATTTGATCACAATAAACATCGCTACACTTCAGCATCGTCTCTCAGACTGCAGTACTTGTCCGCAATGGCCGAGAGCACTTGTTCGAATTTCGAATGTCTTTCATCAGCCGGAACAAAAGCTCCTCTGCTCCCCCACAAGAATTTCATCTGAAACTCCGTTCTGAACATATCCAGCGTCAATTCTTCCATCCTCGCTTCCCCTAGCACGATTTCTGCATTTCTTTGGTAAGATGCACTTGAGTCCATGTATTTCCTGGCAGTTTCCAGATGATTAAGTAAAGTGGTAAGACCGAAGTCTTGGGTGTTCGATTCCCACAACCCCAGACAGCTCGTAGTTAACTGATTGTGTTCCGTGGGTGTGATAAAGTCATCTAAAGAACGCTCGTGGAGTAATATTAATGGCAATAAGTGAGGAATTGTCGTATTTGGTGCCTGAGGATTTGAGCAACTGTTCATATTTTTTAAAGTTGGTCGTAGTTTTGCTTCGAAATTGAACGCCGAGTCGGTGTATTTCTGCCTCAGCATGTGCCACGTCGTGTCGAGTCTTTCCACCTGTAATAAGTTTGAAATTTTATTCGATTTGCGGGAAGGAAATTTATGGGAAGTACCTGTGGCAGACATAAACCTAACATGATCCCGCAAAAACCGAAGAGATTTCCGAGGGCTGTCTTCGTATCTATCGCTACTTCAATCCACTTATTCAACATTTCAGTCCGTTCCAAGTCTTCTGTACAAGTTAAAATTGTTACCGCCACGAGGAGTTTCAGACATTCCGTCCTGAAATTAAAGTGGGTATCGTTGAACACTCCGATTCGAGATAATTCGTCTTTGGAAAGTCAATCAACACAAAGTGCATTCAATTAATGAAACGTACTAAGTAATACTAGAACAATTATCTTTTTTTATGTCATATCCGAATTTGAATACATTAAAAATATAAGGAAAAAATACAATTAGATTTACTTATTGATTTACTTATTTCCGTTATAATTTTTCTTATTATAATTTTTATAAGTCTTTCCTTCTCAGAACGGATTTTATAATTATTCTGTGTGTAACTTAGTTAGCACTTGTTTATTTACGATATTTTTCAGGAATTGATAAATGCAATTCGAGTGTTTGATTTGATGTATTTTTAAATGAAATCTTTCATTTTATTAAAAATTTAAGTAACATACCTTTCAATTAAATCCACCCGGAACTGATGTCCGTGCGGCAGGGCACACAGCTCAATTCCGCTCGCTAATCTCGCTTGAATCGCATCTTTCGGCCTATGAAAAATCACATCTAAGTCAGTCCTCGTCAAATGATTTGCTAAAATCCTCGGTCCGGACTCTTGCAACATCATTTTAACCCCTCTCAAAGCTTGCACATCTAGCGGTTTATTCTCATTTACCGGTAACAGCAGCGTATGAAAATTCTCAAGATCAAACCTACTCCCGAGATTAATTTCCGGCTGGATCATCTTCAACAGCTTCTCCTCCGCTTCGGAGCAATCAATCTCGAAATTCTTTAAAGTCGTTGACGATTCGGACGCAACAATATTATACCTCGGATTTTTGATAATCACCCCCGAGTTTCTTTGGTTGCTTTCAATCGCATCACCTGCCGCCGAACTGAGCGCCGAGTCCCCGGAACCGTTTCCGGAGTCCGATCCGGAAGCGTGGTAGGATGTGACCCTTTGCAGGTTTCCATGAGGGAGGAATTCTGAGATTTTGCCGTCGCTGTCCGATTCTTTCGATTCTAGACGGATGATACTAGGGACGCGTGAGGGCTTCGGTGGTGGCGAGTCCGAAATCCCGGAGTCACTCTCATTAAATAATTTCTTCTCGGCACAGGGGGACAAAGTCGGGTCGCTTGTAATCCGGCAGTTTCGGCCCAAAGTGTTGGAACTTGCCGACAGGGAGAGCTTAGTGTTGGGACTCCGGGGAAGGGAATGAGTCGAGAATTTTAACCCGGAGTTGATCATATCAGCCCCCGCCGACCGCGTCATGAGGGGCGACTGAATAACCCCATCGGCGCTGTTGCACTTTTCCTGCGATATTCTATTGACTTCCGAGGGTGTTAAAGACTGTGATCTTTGCTTCTTGTTGGGGAGTCTTGGGGGTCCCTCTCTGTTACTTCGGGTTGGGGACGACGAGGGCCGTGTGGGGTGTAAGGGACTGTGTCTATACCCCATGCCCCCGATTGGGGTGGTCGCCGGGGAGCTTAGCCGGCTCTGGGGCAGCGGCGTGGGGTACTTGGCGGCGTAGAATGACAAGGGGTACATCCGATTTTTCGGTATCTGGATTCTGGCTCCAGAAGCCGCGGTTATGGGCTTCCCCGAGCCCACGTAAAAGGTTATGAGGTCAGGGACGGTGTCGAATGCGTCTTCCTCGAACTGGAATTGGACGTGTTCGTACACCGTGTCCGGCTGAAGGATGATTTTGTTGATTACAAAGTGCAAAGGTTGGGTTTTCGTTCGGCAAGTTAGGACGTAATTGCCGGGTTGGGAGGTACAGTCCCGGACTAGAAAGCCGCCTTCCTCTCGGACGATATCCTCGGCACGGGAGCGAGGGATGGCCCCATGGTACCAAGCGTGGGACCGCAAGTCGCGACTGTCCAAAGAAAGCTCCCATTCGAGAGCTTTTTTCAACTCCAGAGAATTCATCGATGGGTCGGCCGTAGGCTCCTGAAAAGAATATTTTATGTGAAATTCAATAAATCCGGAAGCTTGGGGATATTCAATAGAACTCGCTCGGGCGTTAAAAGTGGATTATAAGTTTAACGCGTCGAAGGAGAGTGTCGAGAAATTTTCATAAGAACAAATACTGTTCTGAAACCGTGAACCGTGTTTAAGGATTCATCTACACCGTTTTAATTATTTCGATTTAACGGCTGCTATTCATCAAACAGTCATTTATTTTTGTTTAGGTACTTCCGAAAACCCGAAAGGACTTAGGAGAACTAATTCCAGCATAAAAAAAAACAATTCAAAGGCAATAGAAAAAATCTTAGTTTTTTAGCTCTTCAACACTCTTATTACCAGAAGCTTTATCGTAACCATCCAAGTGTGTCTAGAAATTACAGGAACATAAATGGTACTCGAAAACTCGAATACCAGTATTTAGACTCTTTCGCATTCTTTTAGCTTTTTTGAATTTTGACTTCGCATCAAATACTCATTTTGTTTGCTTCTAAAGACACAAAAGGGATTAAATTGCCACTCATAAAATGGTTGAATTTACTCGACTCGGTTAGCTTTAATAATTCAAAAGAGTGGCTGTGATACTGCAGACTTATTTTACAAGTAAATTTCGCCACTTTCTTGTTCACTCTTTCGCTTTTAATAATAACGTTGAAGCACCACACACGATGCTAATACTCTCGTTCGACATAAATCTCCATTATTTTTATTATTTGGTTTCTAACACAATAGGGAACAACGAACAACCGGGACTATGAAATGATTTGTTATTATAATCCGGTCTGTTGGAATTTTTTACCGAAAAGACCTAACTGTACTATCTGTTGTGATTATATGCATACAATGTTTGCGTTTTTCTCAAACAACCCCAATAAATCATTTACACGTTGACGCAGTTTGCTTTTAGGATTACCTTTATTACACGTTTGATTGATTAAAACTAGGACGGAGCACAATGCTTTAAAAAATAGTGACCTTTACTCTTAAATAAAGGGTTTAAATGAATTATCTCTAAACCTACGAGTATCTTTTTAATCCTGATACCATTACAAGTAATGCAATTAGTGTGAACGGTTAAGTGTAATTTATTATTATTACTCGTAGTAGTGGAACTTGTTTCTTGTTTTCGTGTAAAAAAATTAAATTAATTTAATTAAAATCATAATTATAATGAGTGAAGTGAGAAATAAGCATCGATTCAATGTTGATATCCCTGAAGGTGGGTGTACATATAATTTTGACTGTAGGTAACGTTTGAATGTATTTTTTTTTTCGTTTTATTGCTTGGTTTATTTGTTGTAAATTTAAAAATAAAAAAATATAAAAATTTTAAGAAAATATTTTAATCTTTAATTTCAATCTTAAACAAAAGAAATTAATTATTACTTGAGGAGATTTAGTTAAAATAACTTTTGTTAGGAATATTTTGCAGAAATTTACATTCTCAGAGATAAATTAAAAGGACAAAAGAATAAAAATATGAAGCTACTACAAGCTTTTGCTTTTTTGAGTTTTTATTGCGCTGTTTCAATACTTGGTTATGACGTCTTGTTATAGAAGAGATAAAAAATTTACTTTAAAGTTAGCATTCGCGCATACTAATGCACATCTGCAGCAATAATGTACTAAAAGCATTGTTAATGATTTCCTTYTTTTATTTACCCTGCAGAACAACAAAACGAATGTTTGTTTACATTATTCGCATATGTCATTGCAAAATCACATAAATATTTATCAAATTATCACATTGCTTGTAATTTTTCAATTATCTTTTACAATAGTCAAGCAAATACCGCATCCTTTTTGTTTGCAAGTGCTCGAGGCAAGCTAAAGTCGGAAAACAATCTAAAACGTTGCTTTCTTGGTTAAACGAGAAAATAACTTGTCTCATATGAGCAGCTTTTAGTAACGGTCGTTTCATAGACAAAAAGTACAATAAGAATGCCTGAAATGACATCTCTCCACTCTAGGAATAATTGTGTGCTTCTAATCTGCAGCTTTTCCACAAAGAATACACATACAAAACAATTCCCATTTATTACCGCCTTAGATATTTAACTTCGAGTTTACGATTCGTGCACTCACGAGGTAAACTATAAATCACATCGTTACCTCAAATGAAAACAATAATTTTCCTCCCGCCACTTTAGTAATACAATAACTAATCAATAACAGATAACGCCGCCAGTAATTACAAGAACTGCCATTTCAGATTCCGATGTGACATACAAAAAGGGACAAACTCCAGCTTTGCTCAACGGAATGATGATTGCATGTGCCGAATTCATTGGCACTGCTGTCTTAGTTTTCCTGTCTTGTATGGGCTGCACAAAGGGGATGTTTGGGGAAAACATTCCAGTTTTGCAAACAAGCCTTGCGAGTGGCCTGTCTGTTACGACGGCCATTCAGGTGAGTTATTGGAGTGTTTAGACATTTACACACGGGCCCCGCAAAATATCTATCACACTTCTACAACATCTCCCAGCTATATTGCTTTCCACGCCAATATTTGCATTAATATTGAAACCAAAGATAGACTGTTTTGTTCAATTCTTTACTTATTTTTTCAACGAAAGAAATAAAATAATAATATACAGTTTTTATTGTTACAAATTGAAACAGGTGATAGAATATTCAATGTTAAAACAAAAGTTTTCTAGGAACATGTATCGAAAAATACTCCATGTATACCTAAGGGAGCTACAACCCCTGAAAGGGGTACGTTTTTAAATAGGTTTTTTTTACAATATTTCAGAGTAGAATTACAAAATTTATAATTTTATCCTCATAAACTCGAGGGGTTTAGAATAAAAAAAAAATAATTTTAAATTTTAATGTTTATGGTCTGTAGAATTAATGTTAAATTGATGTTACTCAAAAACGGTAAGTTTTACCGATACAAAACAAGAGACTTTTTTTGTGAGAAACTATGGAATTTAGGATTTTGTCACCGAAATTCACAAGAAACTACAGCCAAAATGGCTAATGTGGGTACTTTAGGTTGCGCAGTTTAGGTTGCGCTGATTAAATTATTTCGACATTTTATTTTTGAATTCGTTTAGGGGTATAAATATTATCAGCCGTACCAAATTTAGTAGATGTATCTAATTTGATCTAAAATGGGTTCTGAAATATTGGAAAAAAACCCATTAAAAAAGTCACTCTTTTCAGCCCCCTTACATAGTACTTTTTGATATTCATGTTTATAATAAAATTTTGTCTTAAAATTGAATATTACCTGTTTCAATTTGTAGCAATAAAAACCGAATACCTGTATATTAATTTAAGAAATTATTTTTTATTATGGTACAGTTTTGGACACGGAATGCTGGACGATTTGTCATTTGATTGACAGAAAAATGTCAATGCAACTAACTAACTTCACTTGCGGTTTTTGTAATTTTTATGCCGACAGCCAGAGAAAAAAATTACAAAAATCAAAATAATTTATTGAACTTATATAAAAAGACGTACATTGGCGGTCATTGAAAAGTAATACACGGGATTTTGACACATCCTCTCAAAATTTAAAAAATTGCATAATGTAATTTTTTCTTTGTCGTGATTGTCAGTGTCACTGAAAACGACACTTTTGACAAATTGTCGAATGTACAGAAATCTAATATTATTACAAGATTCAGGGACAATGTCCCTTTACGAGTCATCGCAGGAGAAATAAATGTGAACAAAATGACTGTCCTTAAAACAAAGAAGAAGATTCTAGTGACATTTTAAACATGACAGTGATTGTCAATTTCAAGGGAAAATTTACAACGCCAAATTTTTTTTATTTGTCAAGTGTTATTACTTTTCAATGGCCGCGACTGTATTGCTGGCATTATTGTTTCGGAAAATCGACGTCACAAATAAATTTCAACTAAAACTTTCAAATTTTAGTTTCAAACGTCAATCATAATGACAAATTTGATGTTTAAAGTTTCGTGTCCGCAATTGTACGAATTTTAAGATGGAGAATGCTATCAAATTTTGTCGCTTTTAGTAGTTCAATCACATTTCCAGGGTACATGTTCAATTTAGATAACACGAAATTTAAAAAAAAATTATAACTAACTAAAATAACTTTTCCTGAAAATCAATATCAATTTTAGAAATAATTTTGTTATATTACGAACTTGAAGTTGGAAAAGCTTTCTAACAAATTACTGGAATTCCAGTTTTATCGCTTTTAGATACTCACCGCAGCCACATTTCCGGTACTTATGTTAAAATTTAATTAATTCAGAATTTAAAAAAAATTGGTAATAATTTTAACTGACAAAATAACGATCGCTGAAAATTGATATTAATAAATCCTAACTGAWATTCTAGTAATCTATTCTATAACATTTTCCAACTTCCGAATTCGTAAAATAAGCAACAAAATTATTCAACAGATTAAACGTTTAACGCTTGTTGAGATGGTTAGCCACATTATTTGCGTGGGCCACGTTTAAATTTATATAACTCACACAAAATAATTTTTCCTAAAAACTAATATAAATTTCAAAAATAATTCTGTTACTTATTTTACGAAGTTGAAGAAGAATTTAGCTAGAGCGTATTAAATTTTTGTCGCTTTTAGATGTTTAGCCACATTTCGGGGGCCCATGTGAACCCCGCCGTCACGCTTTGTGCCTTGATTATGGGCGAAATTTCCTTAGCTTCGGTCCCGATTTATGTCGGTTCCCAAATTGCGGGTTCTTTGACCGGCTATGCACTTCTTAAGGTAATAAATCACTTTTTTATTAATTGTGGAGCTCAAGGTATTGATTCTAGGCGGTAACGCCAGATAAGCACTTGGATGTTTCTTACGGTCATTGCGTCACGTTGCCCCACGATGAAATATCGCTTTTGCAAGTATGTATTTCGATTCAAATAAAATAATGTGACGAAAATTTTCATGTTAAATTCAAGGCATGTCTTGTGGAATTTATAGCAACGTTTATTATGGCAGTGGCAATCTGCGCCTCGTGGGATCCAAGGAATTATGCTAAAGGAGATTCGGTTTCTTTGAGGATCGGAATCATTGTCTTTCTCYTAAATATCACAGCTGTATTACTGAAATAATYTCATTTCGAGTCGGATTTCAAATTGTGACATTTCAGGGGCCTTATACTGGGGCTAGTATGAACCCTGCGAGGAGTTTTGGGCCGACTGTTTGGAATTCAAAGTGGCACAGTCATTGGGTATTTCATGTCAGTTGGAAATAAAATTTGAACTTAATTTTTTTTCAAGGTTTATTGGATTGGACCGGTATTAGGAGCAAGTCTCGCGGGTCAATTTTACAAAATGATATTTTTACGAAGCGAGAAAAAGAAGCGTTTGAATTGTTAACAATAAAATACTTACCATAATTAAATTGTTTAAACTTTTACTTTGGACTGGCTCATAAACGGTGCTTAAATTCGATCTGTAACAAAAATAATTGCGTTAAAAATGTAATTATCTTTACGCCGGATACGCTTTTAATGTCGGATGATATAAGCTTAATGGGTGATTAAAACTAATGTGGTGTTTGAAATCCTCCTTGCTCGATAATGAATCACTTCAGACATCAGGCACAAAAGCTTCATTACGGTTGTTTCTTGACGTCTGAGTAGATAATTGCACTACTAAGAGAGGAAAGTATTGTGGACCATTATTTGGATTGGACTCGTTTGTTCTTTTATCTGAAGTATTTGTTCAAAGGTTGTACCGCCACAGCTGCATCAAAGATATTAAAAACGGGAGTTATCGATTTATGCAAAGCTGAAAGGAGACTCACGTTGCTGAAATTACCTACCAGAGATTGAAAAGTTTCATTTACTTTCGGTGGTCAGGAAAGACCCTAATTAATCATTGTTCAGATGCAGAAAAATCACTGAATAATGGATCATAATTGATTTGTTCTTTTCTTTCATATTCAATCCAGAAAAGGAAAATATGATAACGATTTGCTTGAAAGAAATGGAAGATTTTTCATTTGTAGAAGCAACGAAACTTTGAGCTTTGCAATTTTTTATGTTCTGTAATTTTAGTAATTTTACACGAGGCTTTATTTCTCCAAATACCAATATTTTGCGTTGACGTTCTCACAAATGTTTAAAAATTTTTGCAAGAGCTTTAATCTCTATAATAAAATTTTAAAAACAGGAATATTTTTTAGCACTATATTCGAATAACTGTTTAATATTTTAAAATTGAAGTAGAAAACTCCGTAAATATCATTTTTGTATTTGTAAATTTCACTTGTTAAGTAAAAGTCAAAATAATTTTTGAGAAACTTGTCGAAATATAAAAAAATATATATACAATATGTACCTATAACAAATTTATTAATTAAACTTAAAATACAAAAGGAAATAAATGTACGTTTTCAAACTTGTTGTCTTGTCACAGTTTTTTCTCATTTCTTCTTTAAATTTTATACATGAAAAAAAATATGAATTAAAGAATATCTAAAATCTTGAAAAAGTGATTTAGAAAAGTTTTTTAAACCTTTATTAATTTACGAAAACACAAGAAAGTAGATAATTCTCATTTATTTGGACAAGAACACAAAAGCTGATGTGAATTGCAGTCCTCAACTTTCGAGGGGCAAACACTTCAAAGAAAAGAAACCAAATTAAAATAATAAAAGTTTAAGACTTTGGAGTTCATTATTTCAGATTACTGACTTATCTTAACGCTTTTATTATACTTTCAAGCTATAGAATTGTTTTATGGATAATTCTAATTCCAATTAATTTATAGAAGGCAAAAAGTTTAGTGATGACTTTTGTTTCCAGGAAAACATATTAAATTGCATTTCTATTATCAAAGTACACACTCTGCAAACTCTGCTGTTTGTTAACTCTTAGATAAATGTTTTTTAGATAATTAATTATAAATTCATTTGCAGTACAACAATAGACGCAATTAACAGCAATTGTCTATTATTTACACAAATAAAAGTTGTATTGCATATACAATTCGGTAAGCTCTTATTGCGCTCTATTGATATTGTGATTAGATTTATTGCTCTTATAGTTTCCACAGCAAAGGAATAAATCTAACCACAATTCCAATATAGCGTCACAAGAGCTTGTCTAAGGCTAAAATTTTTATACTCATGGGAAATAGGTGTTTTATCGTACTCGTACAAAATTTGTGTGTAATGATACAAATTGTAATATTTTTTTTCTTGGAAAAACAGAACAATGACTAGCAATTAATGTCTAAATTTCATGACTTAATAATGCATTTTGCTAGATAAAACAACCACTTTTTCATAATAATTTATTTATTTGATAAGTAAGTGGATATTTTTAACTGAAAATAGGTACTTGATTTAATTTCGGCAGGCAATTCAAAAATTAAATAAAAAATCTGGACGTCAGATATCGCTTTATGCAAACATTGAAAAGAATTTAAAGATGCAGAAATTACCTCCGCGAAGTTGAAAACTTTGTGATTTATCTCCGCAAGTCAGGTAAAAATAAATTAGGCTTTTCTCTGTCTTTTAAAAAAATCTAGGCGATGCTGAAAGCCGGCAGAATTTATTCATTCCGGAACTTTCGACTTCCTTCTTACATGTGCAAAATCACTCCTTGTTTGGGCAACATCCCAGTCAGGTAACAAAGACCAATATGGAAATTAAATGGAGGGTGTTCGAAACTTAATGAAACCTCGAAAGTACTTCAACATTAGCGTTGTTTAATACCCCATAAAACTTATAAAAGCATCATAGGAGGGAGTCTTCTGACTCACTCACGGCGTCATTGAGGGTGCACCAAATAAAATATTTGACACAAACAATTTCCCTTTTACGTGTTTTCGATGTGAATTATTTTTATGGAAACATCCCATAGAATCAAAGGGTCAGTGTACGTGCGTAGTTTCCTAGTGTGTTAGGACGGTTTTGGGGTGCCATAAACACCCAACTGATTTTTTCGACACCAAACTTGGAGTTTCTTACTTTGATGGGTTAGACTCGAGCCAATTTATTGATTTAAGTGTGAAAGTTTTCTCTGTCTGAACTTTAGATTACTTTCGCATCTAATGGATTCTTTCCTTGTTTTTTATCATTCTTCCTAAAAACTAATATTGACTGAAAACTTCAGATTTAATTGAAGCGTGTCACAGTAACTGTTGCGTTTATTTTGCTCTATAAATAAAACTGTAATCAACTTTAAGTAAATAAAGAACTGAAAGCGGGAATTCCTCACATTCATTTCTTTACGACCTACACAGAATTCAGTAGCAATACTGGCAATTCCTCCTTTCCTCTATTTTATGTGAAGGTTGCAACACTATCTAGTCACACTTATCTGTTTCTCACAGCGGAAGTTCATCTTTGACTCAATGGCATACATAATGCATATGCTATAACACTGATGACATCTTGAATTCCTCCTCACTGTCTTAAAGTGCATAAAAAAGAACGTTAAAATGTAGAGGAATCTTTCTTTCAACTATTAATTATATGACAGCTGTGGTTTAAAATTGTTTGGCGGTGCATTAAGATAATAATTGTTGTGATTTATCTCCATTAATGATACATGTTAGACTGATAAAAAGGCACTGATTCGTATTAATTGCATAATAATGTAATGATTTGTTGTGACGGGGTAAATGTATCGAAATTATTCATGTGAGCATTTTGTAAATCGACTTTGAGGAAAAATAATGGGGATTTTGTTGTTTAATTGGCTCCGAAATTCACGTAATTATTGAAAAAAATCATGCAAATGCAACTATACAAAAAGTGCAATATTTTGTTAAAATCGACACTTTTATATCACATAATGTTTATATTTTATGAAAATATAAATAATGGTAGCGATTTCAGACCAAATCGGTTGAATAACAACGATAGATGTTACGAGGGGAGCTTTTCCTTTCTAAAGTATACTATTTTTATAAATAATAGCGCCTATTTTTTGCTACGAATATCAAGAAAAAACAAAATGTTTTATAAGATTTATTTCTTGAGAAATATTGGATGTAACATAAGTGATAAACATAATCACGTCCCTCAGTTCAGTTCAGTTTCATAGTTTTTATTTTTTTTAAGGAATAAAATTACAAATCTCCTACATACAAAAAAGCTTTAAAAGATAATTTACGAGTATTTTATAAAATTTAATTATGTTTCTTTAAAATAGTAATACATAGTTCTAACTACATTTTTGAAAATAATCCTACTTAGATGCTAACAAATAAGAAAAGAAAATTAGTGTTCTATTCGTCATAATTCCTTTTTAAGTTATTTGCTTATTAGCAACTGCAATAAGCTAAGTAATTACTCAGCTTCTAATGTAATAAATTATTCATGTTGCTTTCAACAGCAAAATACTGTAAATAAATATAAATAAATAACATAACTAATCTAATTTGGATTAATGGCTGTTAAAAATATTATGACTATTCTTACAAGAACTAAATGAAATTAAATTAGACAAATTTATACATCATACGTTTAATTTAAAGAAACTACGATATAGAGGGTGAAACATTTTTAGTTAAGAAGCCTCGGACTTTCTATTTATTGAACATTCCATTTCCGAGTTTTCCAGTGTCTCTTCTAAACGATGGAAGAAAAACTAATTTTCCTGCCACCATCAATATTTAAAATTTTCTTTTTTAAAATTTTATTTTGTCAATATTTGCTATTATCGTACAACAAAATTACATGTTTCTTTATCCAACACCATCAAAGAAAACATTTCCTTTTGATCTTTTTCAGATTTTTGTCTTTTACTACAGAGATCACAATCATAATTTATTTGAGTTTGGTCCAAGTTCTTGCTTTAAACGACATACGCAAACTTTAATCTCGGGTACATTTTTCCGATCTAGACGATAGATTTATTGTTGACACATTTAGAATAATAATTTTTCCAGGATTGGTTATTGATTTAGGTATAGAGTTTTACAATTGGCGAAAGGCCATTTCATCGTTATTTGAATCATCTCAACGATGAGATAAAATAAAGTTCAAATTACGAGTGTTGTATTAATGTCCATTTCAGTTACAAGGAAGCTAATTGGCAATTAAAAAATGTTTGAGCTTAATCAGGTTATAATGTAATTTTCCCAAAAGCAAATATTTTTATTCGTTCTCTGCAGCAACTTTGAAAGCTTTCAAATTGGCTTCTATTTATATTAATAAAACTTCCGGTATATTGTTTCAACTATTTATAAAACTTTGAGAGAGAAATGTAAAAATAAATGCGGGAAAACGCAACTTGCTTTTTCCAGTTGAATTCTGATCCAAGGGCACATTTAATGTTATCAAAGTTGGGATCCTTTTCATTACAGCTCAAGGTACATAATCGCATCCATTTGAAATCCTGGAATGCCGCCAGAATTCCAGCCTTCGACTTCAATTATGGCAAAAGTTTATTGAATGCATTGTGATAATGCAAAATATTCTGGAAGCTGCTGATAAGTGATATCGCTATTGCAGGGTTTATTACAATGCAAATGGGGTTCAAGGGTACGTTTACTCACCCTAAAAAAATCGCTGACCCCCGATTCTGTCACACTCCGGTCCATTTGACTTCAAAGCATTCCGAATTTCACTTATGATGCGCGTTCACTGCGTTCGATTTTATTTTACGTTCACTTTACATAGCAGCTGGACAATTAAAAGCCGCTACCAGCCATTAATTAAAGCGTGTTAAAAGCCCTTTTTATCCCACCGACATTTCTACTGGTTTAAAAAACAACACTTTTTCTTCACTTTGTACCAACCACAGTTCTTGGCCCGTCACATGCTAGCACTAAATTAGTTCATCAATTAATTCCGAACATCATCATCAACATCGGTCCGAGTACGCGAAGGCGGCTGTGGCTAGCTATCTCTTTGATTTCGTTGCCACTATACACTGTGTGTGTTTGACACACCCCCACCGCTCGGAGCCCCAATTTATTGATTTGGCCGAGGGCGCAGCCGCCACCGAAACATATAAATAAAGGTCCACCCTTTTTGTTTTTTCAAGACGAGTTTTTGAATTTTTTCGCGCTGCCTTCGGGGGATGATTTCAACCACGAGATTCTTAAGATTGTTGAGGGACCGAAAAAGGTCTTGCGGAGAGGCGCGAGGCTTGGAGTCGTTATTCATAGCGCGGACCACCGGTATCAAACCGCAGGACCGGATCGGCCAATTTGGTAAATTGGAATTCTTGAGACGGCAACGTGAAAAAAGAAACGGAGTGACTAAATGCGAATATGACGAGGATGTAGAGAATTGAATTTTGACGAGTTCACTGGACGATAAAGATATCACCGGAAAATAAATATCAAGGCGACATTAAATGTTATGGAATAAACAAAGACACATTATTCCGTAAAATTTACTTTGTGAATAAAGACAAAAAGATTATCGTAGTTAAAATTTAAAATGCTTTGCGTAAACCCTATTTTAAAAATCAATAAAAATGTTAGATTTACATGTACTATTATTAATATATTTATTTAAAAAATCTTTTTATTGTAAGTGGAACGTAAAATTTTACCTGAAATCAAAACTCGGGAAAATGTATAGTGTTTTTATTCGACTTTGTCCGGTGTAATAAAAAATGAGGTGGAGCAACCAAAAACATATTTGTAGCAAAGCGGACAAATGGAAAACGTTTTTCACTTGGAATTCTGTGTAAATTACCAACCGCACTTCTAAAAAACTGAGCTAAATTATTAGAAAGTAGTCGGTTAATATTGGTCTATGACAATGACTAGTTCTTTTAGTTTGTGCGTTTAAAAACTTTGCAATTATCTGATTTGTCAAGCAATTAACATTAAAAAAAAAATGCATTAAAACTAGAGTTTCATATAATAATTCTCAACATTTATCATTTACAAGTTTCACGAAAAAATGTATAGTATCTAAAGATTCTAAAGTATGTGTCATTTGAACAGCATCTGTTGAAGTTACAAGATATGCGTTGGAAATGACTGTACGAAGAAACTTACTACTTTATAGCTTCCTATCACTATACTCTTGCGTTATGCCTCTGCAGTCAATATTTTAAATATGGTTTTATTTACATTAAAAAAAAAGTAAGAAAAAAATTACTAAATATACCTATACAGGCTGGATTATAAAAAAATAGTTTTAGTAAGTAATTAAGTAAGTAATTTTATTACTTTTAAAGTCGCTACAATACATCTTTGACCAAAGTTGAACAGTTTTTTATCATTAATTGTTTGCTTGTCTTCGATAAAATAAATAAAAATATTCTATTCTTTCAACAGCCCACTTTCCTTAATATAATTTTCAAATTGCCTAAAATCAAAAGTTAGTGATAAATAATAGTAATAAGTGAATCTGTTGAAGAAATCCAAAAATAATAAAATATACAAAATGTTCCATTTAAAAAACTGAAATTGATGTCACTTCCGGTGAAACAGGAAGCAGCATTAATTGGACATCTATGCCAAAACAATAGATGATTAAAAAATGTTCAATTTTGTTTTAAGAAGTATTGTCATATTTTTAAAAATAATGGAGCTATGGCTTGGGCTGTTTTTCAAAATCCATCCTGTATAAATAATTCATCCAATAAAAAGTGCATAGCAGTTGTGATGTGAGATGTCATTTTAAATGTATTAATTAGAGGTTTGGAGTTTGGAGAAACGAAAGAATGAATGAGAAAACATTCGAGTAATAAAACATAATTAATTCTTTGGTTGAAAAAATATGATTTAACTAATGAAAACACATTATGCTTATTTTTTAAAAAATATTCTGACAATGCGACGTCCACTTTTACGTTTAGTTTTTATTTTTAATATTGTAGTTATTTTGGGAATTGATTTTTGTCCTTGTAAAAAACAAATTCCAAGTTACCCTTCGCAAAGCCACACTCAAATAGTAGTTAATACATAAATAAACATTATTAATTCTGCTTCTGTAGCACTGTTTCTTGTGGCGCTAAATCCACTCCCAAACACTCCACATAAATCCCTTTGCCGTAAACGTGTTCCTTTCTCCCTCAAACAAATCTGCACACTTTTACCAAACTCCTAACCCGATTTTCGCAACTCCCATAAACTTAATCAATAAATAACAAATTAAAAGTATTGCCAAAACACTTCCGCATAATTTAAAATTTTAATTTTCTCCCTCGACAATTATTATAACATGCATTCGGCTAATTTATCATTTCTTCGGGGCTTGAACTACCCCAACTACCCCTCTGTATCAAGTACACGACCATCAAGGGTCGATACACAAGGTCTGTATTGTTACGGAGAAACACATGGGTCCCCTGAATTTCACTTCCTCGTCTATCACAATGGGAACAGACGTGAGAGTCAGCCTATCTGATGAGAGCCCTTCTGGTCTCACTAGCGTAATGTGAATGACGTTTCACTGATAGAGCACGTGTTTTTGTGAGGGATATCAATCATATCAGCTGTTCTGGTGTAAGTTTACGTTATTAATTTGGACTTTGTAGCCGAGATTGATTTTTGAAAATGTGGTGATTGATGGGTTTGTGCTAGATACCGCCTGGTAGCAATTCGTGGTAACGCCCACTCATGGTATTCTTTGATGAAAGCGCACATTAGTTATCTCAAAGTGGCTACGCAAACTCATATTTTCTTCTTATTACAACACATGTTATGGCTCTGGGCGAAACCTCAACTATTTCCACGTTTTTTGCAAATTTCATCAAAATTCCGCACCTGAACGTAATTAAATATTTAAAATTTGCGAGCTCAACGCCTGTTTGTTATGCAACTAGTAATACGGGTGAAGTTTTCTCATTTTGTTTGTACTTGGTTGCACCTAATTACAAAATGATTGTGCACACAAATCACGTCTTGTCCAGGATATTAATTAAGTCCGACGGTGACGACAAAACTTTTCCTCGGTTTGGCAAAACTTGAACTAATTAAGTAAATCTCTGACTAAAGATCGGGAGTTGGAGTGCATTCGGTTGTAAAGTCGATAAATAAATGATGAGATGCAAATAGGAATTTATTAATACATTGTATAACGAGAAGGTTTATCAATTATTAAGATCAGGGCCCCTATATAACTAGTACATGCGCTATAAAACATGAAAAAGTTGCGGTTTAGTATCCCGACCTTTTTTGGAATTAAACGAAACTACGGATTAACTCTTTTTTACGATTATGTGGAGTAATTAAATTAAAATTTTGGCTTAGCTTATCCAGTTTAATCAGGAACTTGTGCAGCTTTTTCAGAAAAGCTCATGCTTACAAGAGTGATGAGAATTTCAGTGTTCACAGCTAAACTAAACAATTATTAGCAGATTTGGCCGACGAAGATAATGGGTTTAGAGCAAAATTCCCTAGTTGGAAACAATGACGGGGCTTTGCACAGCTTGTGCAGATATCATCTAAGCTGTCTAAGCTATTGAAGACAAAATATGTATTTTTGCATTCATTAATTTGAAAAAAGATTCAATTCAATCAAAATTTTGCGTGGTCGGTCCTCGACTGATTTTCAACAATCTTTACGTTTTAAGCCAGGAAATTGAATTTTTTGAATAATGCAAAAGGAGTGAAATCAATGTGAGCACTTATCTACAGTACATTTGACCCAAGCGTCGATATCTGATAGGACTGTGGAGCTAACGCATAAAAAATGTTTCATCATTTGATCCAGCGAGACTTCATAATGAGCTTTGGCGATGGCAAAAATAAACTGTAAATTTTGTTTATTGTTTTGCAACGTGACTAACGATCTTGTAATTATTGATAATAATTGATGTACCATTAAATTATGCAGGTGTTATTATGAAGAATTATAAATTATCAACGATTTTTATTAAATAATGACATTCATTAGTTATTATAGCCAATGAATTTTTAATCAGTTATATGGCGCTGCAGATACTCACATTTTATCGTTTTCTTCATTCGTGATGGATTTATCCACCGCCACGCTGTGTCGTATCGAAGGTTGTCTTCTAAAATTTCCTGTTGACACATTGAAAACATTTCAAAATTACGTTAATTACAAGAAAACGGCATTGAAGTCAAGGTGATTTCGCATTTTTCTCACCATGATATTTCGCTCTTAAAACCGTCAAACTGCTGATGATCATTGCCCTATGCGACGACATCTTCACTCCTAAATCCTTCAGATCGGCTTCAGAAAATTCCAAGAGATCCTCAACTCCGTTATATTTCTTAAATATGGCATCGTATTGTCCAAGATCCATTCTTTTTAACCATTGGGCAATATCGATATGTTTCGAATTTTTGTTGTCATTCAAGGACACATTGTTGGCTTTGTTGATACGAGATTTTGATCGCAGCGGAAGAGAACCGAACCTGGACCAAGATAAGTCTGCAAAAGAAAGGTTGATTTAAAAGGGTGTCTACGGACTAATAATATTTGCAAATTGGTATTTACAATTTTGGATAAATGCGAATGAGCGTATCGTAGCGTCATTTAATGCCGTGTTTATTGCATTGTTATCTACTAGTTTCCCGAGTAGATAATTAATGCGAATTAAGTAGAAAATGATAACAATTTTTGAATCAATGAGTCATTTATAGTAACAAAGTTTACTTAAGAGTAGTCAGCAAAATGATTAATTTTTTACACCATAATGAATTAAAATACACTTGGTTTAAATGAAACTAATATTTAGAAAAAAATATTAAAACACCAGGAAATATTTATAGGGCACTTGAAAATAAATTAAAAATCTTGTTTTTAGACAGATGAGTGTTGATTTGTGGTAAGGTAACAGCTGTGGTAAAAATTTATCAGTAATGTGTTATCAAAATTTATCGAAACGTAAATATCATATGCAGGTGATCTATGTTCTTTGTGTTTGTACAGAAGGTACCTATCTGTATTAATTATTGTATGCTAATCCAGCGTTACACAAGTAAATGGGTGTATAAAATTATTTATACGTAAAAAATTCAAGTCTATTGTATTAATTTAAAAATTGATTTTTCTCACCCATATTCTCTGTCACTGAATACTGRTAAATAGTTCACATTTACTTGACATTTACTGTAGGCATGTGAGCATATTTTATTGATTTATAGATAAATATTTTTATATGATAAAGATACTTGTATCGAAAATAAGTACGTACTATGGAGCCTGTGAGCAGTAATTAAGTACTGGACTATTGAGGTTTCAGCGAGTGCTTTAAAAAGCAATTGGAATTTTGATAATCTGTGAATCATAAAAACTACAAATCACACATTTCATTATTTAAAAAAATGTGATAACAATCAAATTATTTAGTCGGATAAATAGGCCAAGGAAATCAAACAAATTTTAGAGATTCCCACAATGCTTTTGATTGTAAATAACCTTCTTGATACGGTTTGACTGATAAGCTTCCGAAGATGTTATAAAAATTTCATGATGCTTATTTAATCTCACATTGAAAAAAATCAAAAATGATAAATCACTTGTCTGTGTTATTATTTATTGCATGACAAACATAATTGTGCATACTAACATTGATGGATATAAGCATTAATCACAAAAGGGCCGTCATTTCTCCATCTGAATTAAAGGTTAAAAGTTGTGATTAGTCAAATTATATGCAATTATCCAGTTTAACAAAAAAGATAATGGAGTTTTAATTTATTTTTAAATTAAACAAATTATGTTGACTATTTACGGATCTAAAGTTCAATTTAAAAAATTATTATCAGTGCATATGTACTATTTTTGTATCATTCTGTGACGTAAATATTAACTCATATGGTCACGTCTTGGGTCTAGCATTTCTTACATGTGTTGCTATGAATATTAATCACCGTATTATTTGTTTCAAAAAATTACAACATTAGTTAATGTTATTTCTAGGTAAGAAAGAATGATTCTAAATATTTTTTCTTTTCAGGTACATGAACTGAAAATATCAAAAGGATTTTTATCATTTTCCTGTGTAGATTACAAATCGAATTTATTTATTTTGAGATGTACATAAAATTAAATATTTATGTAATATAAAATAAACAAAACATTATTAAAAGTAACAATTTCTCTTGATATCGCAATTAAATCTAGCAGCATGTTTTCCGTTCTTTTGGAGGAAGTAAATTTTTTACCTCCCTGAGAGGTTACATATATTTTTTTTTGTAATTTTGACATAACAGATGAGGGAGGTAATTGCTCACTTTCCTTTCTGTAATTATGGTAGAAAAACTTACTTTCTGTTAGGGTCGTAGGAAAAATTATTTGTTTGATTAATTTTACGAGGTAGGTAAAAATTTTTGAATTAAAGGTGTAGGTAATTGTTACAAAAAGAGAGCTAAACATGTTTAAACTGTTATGAGTTGTACAGGCGATCAAAAATAAAACCTGTTTAGGAATTTTTTTGTGCAATTTGTGGTAATATTGTTCATTGAAGAAAATGTCACGTATTTTGTGTAATTCTCTTTACATATTGTTAAACTTTTGCATAGATTAAACATGCAATGCTGATTAATTGTTTGTCCTAATTACACCAAACACAAAAAGTTTCCATTAATTAATTAATTAATTAAGTATATTATTATTTTATATTTATTTATTATATTTAT